GTCTGCCTCCCCTCAGCACCTAGGGTGTGTGCCCAGCCTGTGTGCTCCAGCCTGTGTGCCTAGCTTGCTTTGGCATCCCGGGAAGAGGGTATGAGTAGGGTGGGAGGAAGGAGGCAGCCCATGACCCCTCTCTCTTCTCTCTCTGTAGAGGACGAGGACTTCTCCATCCTGCTGGGAGCATTAGAAAGTAGGTGTGTGGCTGCATTAGCAGCGCAGCTTGTCAGGGGCTGCTGCTAGGCAGTTACCTGGCCTTTTGTTGAAGCCTGCCCTGTGGTCTGTCCCTGATGTCATGGGTGGGCCAGCCTGAGCCAGTAGGGGAGGGCATGGGAAGCTTACTGTTCTTCCATGGTCACTGAGTGGCTAGATCCTCAGTCTGAATATATCTTGTAGCAGCCGCCTAGGGATCAGCCTCCCCCCTTCACTTACCATCTTATGTTCTTCTTGTTTTGTCTTTTTTAAAAAACAGAATTTGAGCAACTAATGCTCAGTGAAGACAGCCTTCCTTCCCTTGTCTGTGTGATAACAGGTACTGATGGGACCACCATGTTACAGTTTTGGAAGGGTGGAGGCAGTAGATGAATGGGCACATGGCCTTTACGAACATGTCTGTAGGGCACTGTCTTGTTAATCATCACCTCAGTTCTCCAGGTAGTTTCTCTCTTCCTCCCCAAGACTTTGCCCATGCTAGGCAATTGACCTACCACCCAGCTACATCTCCATCTATCTTTTGTTTTTCTATGTGTAGAGACAGGGTCTTACAAGTTGTCCAGACTGGCCTTGAACCTACTCTGTATCCAGGCAGGCCTTGAGCTGGAACAGGCATGTATCACAGGCCCTTGGGGTAGTGTTTCTACATGCCTCTGATGTATAGGGAACCTGAGGCTCCTGAACTCTATCCTTTCCCAGTGGACTTCCAGCCTCTGTACTTTAAAAGCAGTGTGTCCTCCATTTAGTCACAGGGTTAGGCAGCCACCTCCTCCTGCTCCCTTGAAGCCAGGTTCCCACAGGACCCTGTGAGGACCGGACAGTCTCTGTGTCACTTGGTGGAGATGCTGTGTCCATGTTGCTGGCACCCTGGCATTTATCCTAGACCTTCTTGCAATCTGCAGCCCTGTGTCAACTGGCTGGGGTATGCTTAGTATCCTGGCTGTGGGATGTCAGGGTCTGATGGGGCCACTGGTGGGTGTGGTCCTAGGAAAGGGTTGTCAAAGGCTGGAACAGCAGGACCTGCACACTGGCAGTGATGGATAGCGACTATGGCAGTGACTTTTCTTCTCTGTGAAGGGAAGGGGCCTCTCAGAGAGCACTACCGCCATCTCATTAGCCAGAAGCACTTCAAGCATGTCCAGTTCTGCACCCCGTGGCTGGAGGCCGAGGACTACCCGCTGCTGCTAGGTGAGAGGGCAGATTTCAGGGGGAAGATGGAGGGCCACACTATCCCACAAGGGCAGACAGGGAAGATATTACCAACCTCTGTTTTGCCCTGTAATCTTTGAGACAGGATCCAGAATAGCCTTGAGTTTGCAGCAGAGTATCCTGCCTCAGTGCTGGGATTATAGGCCTGCACCACCGTGTCTGCCCCTCCCCCTTCCCTTTTCTCCCTTTTTCATAAGATTTCACTGTACAGTTCAGGTTGGGCTTGAATTTATACAATCCTCCTGCCTCAGCCTCTGCACTGCTGGGCTTACATGAGTACTCTACTCCATTCTGCTGATACCTGATTTTTGTTGGATCTGTTGTAGATTTGGTTTCTTTGATTTTTTTTTTTTTTTCATTTTTGTTTCAGGTTTTTATTTTTTGAGACAGTCTGTGTAGCTCAGGCTGGCCTTGAGCTAAGAAAGATCCGCCTCAGCCTCCCAAGTGCTCTAGGATTAAAGTGTGTGCCACCATGCCCAACTTGCCCTACATTTTTAATCTTGAGTTCTTTTAAAAATAATTCTGGCAAAACACATACAACAAAATTTGCCACTCTAAATAATTTTTTTCATTCATTTATTTATTGCGTGTGCGCGTGGGGGTAGATAGGAGGATGACACACTTGTGCCATGCCAAGTATGTGACAATCAGAGGAGAACTTAGAGGAAGGCTCTTCCTTCCACAGTGGGGTCCAGGAGTGGGACTCAGATTGTCAACCTCGGCAGCAAGCGCCTTCACCTGCTAAGCCAAGTCTGCCAGCCCTCCTCTAGTCATTTTGAAGTGGTCACCGGGTGGTGTTCTTGACAAGGCGGAATGAACCACAGCCATAGCCATAAAACAATGTGATCACAGTGACTGCCTGGGAGCTTTCTCTTTGAAAAGGAATTGGGGCTAAGTGGAAACAGTGAATCAATACAAGTGAAAACAAACTTTAATCATTAAGCAGTGTGAGACAGGATGTAGTGGTCAGCCATGTTTTTGCCTCTGGTTAGGCTGCCTGGCTCCTTGGTCAGCTTATGCCATTTGTGCTTAGGGACAGTCTCAGGGACAGCTGATATCCACTAGGGCTGATTTCCACAGTGAGTCTAGGGCTCACTGTGTAGGCCTGGGAAAATGACCTAGTGTCTTGACTGTCTCTGCAGGGTCAGCGGACCTGGGTGTCTGTCTACACATGTCCTCCAGTGGTCTGGACCTGCCCATGAAGGTGGTGGATATGTTTGGGTGCTGCTTGCCTGTGTGTGCTGTGAACTTCAAGTGGTAGGAGCAGATACCCAGCCTTACTTGGGGCATACTCTAGATCAGCAGCTGGGGCCGTTCCACTGAGCCCTGATGAGGATCAGTCATCTTGGTATATTCACACCCTGTATGTGTCCCACACCATGCCATTCACCTATGAAAAATGTAGTTAGCATTAGAAAGTAGCACACGCCTGTAGTCTGGAGGCAGAAGCAAGAGGATCCCTGAGCTTGAAGCCAGCCTGGCCTGTCTCAGGGAGAAACTAGCAAGGAGTATGTTGATCGTGTCTATCAACATGTAGGTACAGGTTCTTATCCCTGTTCCATTGCTGGGATAATAGCTGTCATCCAGAGAAGATGTGAAGCATGGAGTAGGTTTATGTGGATCATATGCAAATACAGTAGTTTAAGAAGGGGCATGAGATCTGAGAATATACAGGGGCTTCTGGAATAGTCCTGCATGGACAGAGGGATGAGGGATGGCTGGAATTTGCTCGTGGTTAACGTTCTACTCAGGCTCATGCTGTGAGAAGGGAAAGGAGGCCAGAGTCGTTGCAGTTCCCTGGCTTACATCTGTGGCTGAGCTCTCACAAGTAGATGGGAATTATACACACCAATGCAGTTCTGGACTCCACTTTCCCTGGCCAGAGTGGATGTGAGCATGCAGGCTGCAGCTTGCTGGCTAGGGACCAGTCTCTGGATGGGAAGCCCTTGTGTGAGCCAAGGTCAGGGCTTGTCAGGATCCAATCTCCCAGTGACTCTGAAAAACTACCCTTAATGTGTGGAGCCAAAGGCAGGCTTGTTGGGACCCTAGCCCTCAGGCTAGAGTGGAGAAAAACAAAACAAAAAACACAGGAACCATCTTGGCACAGAAACAGTTCTGACATGTGCCCTTGTAGGCTTTCCTATCTAAACACTTGTTATCCCACAACACTGAGGCCAACCTGCCATTCACCGGAGGGGACAGTGGTGGCTTACCTGGGTTCCCTTTCTTCTCTAGCTGGATTTCAAGTCCCTTGTTCTCTTGCAGTTTGCATGAGCTTGTAAGACACGGAGAGAATGGCCTGGTCTTCAGGGATGCTGAGGAGTTGGCAACTCAGTTACAGGTAGTGGCCCTACTCCCTATGGGGCTTGGTGTTTTTGAAGCCTGTCATTGAGCCAGCTCCCTGATCCCTTTTTCCCACATGAGGACAGCTGTGGTGGGATCCTGGGATATAGAGGAAAGGAGGGGGGGGGGAGGGAGCAGAAGTCTCCAAGGCAGTCTGTCAGCCTGGGCTGTTGGCCAGTCTTTCACATTGCCAGGGGCTGGAAGAGCTAGGCACAAACATACATACCCCTGCTTCCTGTGTTTGTTGAGCCCATACTACAGTAAAGATGGGAGCTTTGCTGCCTGTTAGGGACAGTGCGGGCCAAGGAAGCTTCTGCAGAGGGTATGTCTATCCACATAAAACTAATGTTCTCTCATCTCTGACAAGGGACTTGTTCTATACTGGTCTCTGTCTATAGTCTTTGTGAGAACTCTGCAGCTCCATCCTGATACAGATTACAATGTAGCTGTGGACATGTGCAGACAGGCTGAGTTCCAATAAAACTTTATTTACAACACCAGGTCAGCAGGACTCAGCTTGAAGGCGACAGTCTGCTAGTCCCTGACAGAGACCTTAAAAGCAGAGCTGTTGTGGCTTCCCTCTTTCCTGCATCTGAGGACTGTGTTGAGGATGGGAGGGAAAGGGAGGACAGTAGGTAGTGGCTGGACATTCTCCAGGGCAGGGCTGTGGAGATCTATCCCCTAAGTGTCTATTGAGGTGAGGAGTGCTGCTGGAAATGAGCAAGGACCTGGCATGGGGATCTAAGTTCCTGTTTCCTTTTTCCTATAGATGCTTTTTTCAAACTTTCCCGACCCTGCTGGAAAGCTAAGCCAGTTCCGGAAGAAACTCCGGGAGTCTGAGCAGCTGCGATGGGATGAGAGCTGGCAGCGGACTGTGCTCCCTTTGGTCACTCACAGATAACTCCAGGCAGAGGCTAGGGCTCTGACCCTCCAGTGCCCACCCTTCACAGCCAGGGCTTTTGGGTGCCTAGTGGTCAGAAGCCTAAGGACAGCAGTGGGCAGTGTCTAGAAAATGAATGGTCTGGAAGCTGCTTCATCTGGTGCCTGAGTAGTTCTTCTCTTCTGTACTGAGTACTTTTGTTACTTCTGTGACCCTGACCACTACTCAGATCCTGGGCTTTTGTCTCTGGACCCTCACATTCCTTGTGTTCTGGTTCTGCTGGGCTGCCATGAGCTCTGAGATATCCTGTGTTCACTGGGCTTGGCTGAGCCAGGCCTCAGCTGTCTGTCAGGAGTCATACTTGATAAATTATGTTTTTATTTGTACAGTGGAAATGCTTGCCCTGAGTTTGTGTCCACTCCAGATGAGCTGCTGAGGAAGGCACCAGAACTCAAAACCCGTGCTTACTGTACATTTGTGGTCTGTTATTTAGTATTCCTGTTCAACTGAAACCTCTTCAGCTCAGCTTTCCCATGGACTCTTCCCACGATGGTGATCTCATTTTTTCCAGTCGCCTTCAAACACCATGCTGCCTGTTTAGCATGAGCTTCAGGATTACGATGGCCGAGTGCTCCTCATAAGGGAACAATTTGCTGGTGTGAGGGGGCACCTGTTCCCAGGAGATCTCCGCGCGATCTAGACAGAGTACAGAGAGTTTAGGAGGGCAGTTTTGGAGACAGGAAGTTAATCTGTCAGTGCAGGGCTGTGGCCACAGCTGTGCATCAAACTAATTTACTTGGGCCACAAGTTTCCAGGCCCATGTAGACTCCTGTGGGTATGCTCAGTCTAAGGAGAACAGCAGAGGTTCTGCTCTACCGTTTTCTGCTTCATTTCCTTAAGTCCCAGCAATCCCCCTCTCTCTGCCCCCAACAGCCCGAGAATTACAGGTGCTCAGGTTGGCCACAACCCAACTTTTACAGGGGTGCTGCAGATTCAAACTTGGTCTTTACATTTGTACAGTCAGCACTTTTGCTTACCAATCTCTCTCTAGCCTGAGGACAAGGCTTTAAAGAGCAGCAATGGGTGTGGCCACCTCCCCTACCATGCCCACTGAGGTGCCCACCACTTTGCACCTGTCTACCCTGTCAGTTGGCATAAGAGGGGAGCTATGATCCAACTGCAGCTGCCTGGCTTCATGAGGTTTGCAAACACTGTGGGCCAAGACAGTTTCCTAATTACATCTGTGTTATAAATAAAGCTAGTAGTTTAAAGAAGCCCAGGCCCAAAACAAGAGGCTTTATAATAAACAACCTGAGTATAACAAACAAGCTGGCATGCATTCTACAAATTCCTCCGGATGGAATCCAGCCTTGCACACAGCAGGCATGTATGCTACCACTGAGCTGGTCCCTGGTCCCCGTAGTTAGTGAAATCAGGCACATGCTGCTCTGGCATTCTGTGCCTTTCTTAGGGAAGATGCATTGCAGGCTCCCTGTGTGTGCATGCATCCATCCGAAGGATAGGCAGGGCCCTCAGTGCTCAGTCAGTGGGTTCTGGGAGTGTTCTGCTGATTGGGGGAGTCTGCCTGTCAGCCTGTCCAGACACTGGCAGGTGAGTGGACAGGTGTTGGAGAGGCTTTGCTAAGGGAGCCTGGCTAGGGTAGCATCATACTCTACCGTATGTGGGGAGTGTCTTGGTTGGCATGCAGGGGCTATGGAGATGGTTTTGGGTGGGAGGGAACCTGGGCCACACTCAATCAGAGTGCTTTAGTGTCTTCACAGGTAAGGTAGGATGACAGGACACCCATCCCAGGTGCTGCTGAGTATCAGACTGGAGGACAGACAAGGCTCACAGTCGTGTTCTGCAGATGGTGGGGTCCTTATCCTTTTTCTAAACCCCCCCCCCCCCCCAGCTTCTCTTCTTGCAGAGTGCCCAAACAATGGCTACCTCTGTAGGCCTGGCTATGCCTCAGAGGAATGTCACCACAGCACAGATAAGGATGCTGATGAGCAAGGCCAATGCCAGCTTAGTTTTTAAGCCCTCCAAGGGACAGAATGGTGGCCCACAGGTCGGGAACTGACCCAGCTCTGTGACAAACAGCTTGCCCGTGTCTTGGCTGCGGACGGTATAGGCCACGTAGACATCAGGAGCATTCTTCCTTTGGCAGTCGGTGAGCATCTTCAGGACTCTGACCAGTGACAGTGTCACCTCCCAGGAGTATAGCACATCTACAAGGGAAAGACTAGCTGAAAGGGCCTCTCATCAGCGTCTGCAAACAGTGTGGGGCTGGGCTTACTTTGGGTTGAGGGCCTGGGAGCAGTGGTGTGTTAAGATAATGTGCTGCTACACAGGAAGAAGCCCCGGCAGGGTTTCTAAAGGCCGCTACAGCCGAGTCTCCCGTGCTAGCACTGCTTCTGTGCCCTTCCTCACTTAGAAGATGGTTAGTGGAGCAGATCCTAGCCTGGGTGGAGCTTTTGCTGGGGAACCGATTATTGTGGGTGTGCCATGGGAAGGTGATCTCTGCTGTGCCAGGGAGGAGGGCTCCTTGGTGGCCTATGCAAACACTGCTTTCTCTCAAAGACTCCATTCTGTATCATAAGAGGCGGGTGTTCTTCTGTCCTCTCTGAAGGACACAGGGCAGGGACCTGGGGCCCAGATATACTGGTGGGATAGCCAAGGCCAAATGGCCTTGGTGATTATAGTAAATCCTTGGCATATCTGCAAAGAGCCAGCATGGATGCTGTGGTGGGGCCACTCAGCTCTGTACTGGGCCTTGCCACCCATTTAACGACCAAGCATGGTGGTGTCAACAGGTGAAGACATGAATGTAGCCCTGGGAGGACCACAGGCTGCATGGCCAGTCTATCCCACCTGCAGATCCAGGATGGCTGTTTGTCCCAGCAATGGAGGGAACAGACTTAGTGGTGGGTGGGGCTGTTTTAGTTTTCATTATAGGACCAGAGAAGGAAATGGGTTGCCTCAGGGCAGCTGAGGCAAGATACTCCAGGCCAGGCTAGTATGCTGCCCTAGCACCTGTCCTGCTCATCTTAAGACTTCTAGGGACAACTGGTTATTCATGCACAGGGCCACAACAGTGAGTGCAGCTATCTCCAGAGAGGGACCTGAGACTCTGGAGTGTGGGCTGTGACGTCACTAGGAGGCCCAGGGTGTCCCTGCCTGCAGTGCCCAGTGCTCCCTCCTGCTGCTGGGACGTTACCTGCTGCAATGACAATGTCTGCCTGGAAGGCAGAGAGCTGAGAGGCTGCCACGTTGTCCCAGTCGAGCTCGGCCACTGTCACCTTCGGGCTGCGAGAGTCAATGGGAGTGTGCGGCTCTAAGGAGAAGCCATTGAGGAGCACGTTTCCACGGAGCTGTGCAAGCACTTGGCCATGACAGTCACTGAAGATGAATGCTCTGGGGTGGCATGCTTTGCAAATGGCCAGGCCTGTGAGGCCAGCTCCACTGCCCAGCTCCAGGACAGTCCTGAGTGGGAGGTGGGGACCTGTGTTCACAACTGTACCAGCGCCAACCTGCCTCAGCGCCCTGCCCTGTGCCCCCAGATCACCTGTCGGCAAAGGTTGCTGGGTTCTCAATGGCCCACTCTGCCAAGTAGAGAGCAGCATCCCATGTAACCAAGCCTGTGGTGCCATGGGACACGATGGCTGTGCTCTCAGAGAGCGTGACTGAGTTCCCTGAAGGCTGCAGGGAAAGGAAAGAGAATAAACAGAACTATCAGAGTATGACTGGTGGGACCTAAACCACAGCAAGTGAATGGCTGAGCAGAAGGTGGTATGCCTACATGGGAGGGTACTCAACAATGGAAAGGAACAGGCTTGGTACACCCAGCAGGATGGGTGATCTCAAGGACACTGTGCTGAGTGAAAGCAGCCAATCTCGGGTCCCATGCCATGCAGTCCCCTTCATCTCATACTTTTAAAATGACCCAATCGCAGAGACAAGAGTGTGTGTGGAGGGGTGAGGGTAGGCACAACACAACATAACATGTATGTCTCATACCAGCAAATAGCTCCGGTGGCACTGGGTGGACTCTTTGGCCATCAGAACCTCTGCCAGCGCCTCGTACAATGCATCCAAAGGCTCTGTGGGCACAGCCTCATGCTGGGAAAAGACAGTGAACCTTAAATGAGAGGTCACACTGACCCTCGTAAAGAACCATTCTGTCCCTTGCTTCTGTCTGCTCAGTACAGGATTGGGTGGCTTTCTCAGTATTTACGGTGCTGGGGATGGATGTCAGGACCTTGTGCATGCTGGGCCAGCACTTAAGAGCTGAGCCACATTACAGCCTGATTTTGCCAGATTTAGAGGGAAATTTCAGAGTGGGAGGTAAGCTGGCATATAAACAACTTAGAATTCAAATTAACAAAATTAAAGTGTACTGGTGGGTGCCTCAAGAAGAGATATGGAGAGTAGGCAGGCAGGGCCTAGGGCAGCAGAGTTCAGGAGAGCGCACTGCTGTCCTTAGATGATGTGTTCATGTGAGCCCTGGGCTACCTCTTGGTGGCACTGAGGCACGGCTTCGTCAGGCCTCACAGGCCTGTTTCTTCTGGTACTGCCAGAGCCTACAAAAGTGCTGGGGTGCCAAGGCCTGGGTCAGGGTGATACAGAAGCAAGGACCACACCTGTGCTGAGCCTGGTGTGCAGCTGCTGGCTTCAGGGGCTGAAGCTAGCCTGCTGCTCTCTCCATGGCTGTATACAGTGGACGTGTCCTCCAAAGGTGTCTTGCAGAGGTTGGGAAGATCCTGTCCAGCAGCCCCATGGGGAGAATAACAAGGAACTATCTGGGAAGGGGCTGTGAAAGCTCAGACTTCCAGCAGGGGTGCATGGGCCAGCCAGGGAATGGCTGGTAGAATGGGGGAGGAGGCATTCAGTAGCAGGGATGTCTGGTGGGAAGGACAACCTGAGCTGCAGCTGAGAGCCCTGGCCTCTCTCCCCTGCCCAGTCCCTCCCTGCCCTCCCATCATACCCCACCAGCAAGGAAGCCCTGACTCAGGGCTTACAGAGCAAGCAGTGTGCAGGGAGGTGGGGTTGCTGGAGCCTGGCAGAGCTCTGGAACTCTGTGTTCCCCTTCGTGGCCTAGCCCCAGCAGCCACTGCCCATCACTGACCTTTTTGATGAGCTTCGAGAGGAAGCAGCGGGCATACCTCACAGATGGCAGGTGCTGCACACATACGGGGTGCTTTACAGTCTAGACAACAGAAGACAAGAAGGTGGCTGTTACAAAGACCCGCCCCTAGTGCCCGGGACGCTTCACACAATAGAAGGGGCTTGATGTTCCTGCAAAGGTGTACAGGGACAATGGGTATGAGCCCTGGGCATCTGCAAGATAGTCTTCTTCTGGGCTTCTTGCTAGATGCTAGATGCCAAATTTGCAATCCCCCTGTCATAGATTATGGGTATGCCACTCTCAATTTAGGATGAAGTTTTAAGATCTTTCCCTAAAACATTTCCACATAGTGGCATGGCTCTGGGTAGGGACCTGAACTCATAGGCCCTTTCCCGCCCACTCAGGGCACCAGGTAGGAACGACATTGGAGGATGAAGTCGGGGTGTATGGCTTCATGGAGGAGGTGAGGGCCCAATGGCAGGAGCCAGACCTACCAAATGCCTGTTCTGGCTGTGAGGCCTAGGTGCCGAGCAGGGTTGGGCATGAGGTTGAACAGGCAGAGGTTCTGCCTAACGCCTCAGTGGAAGCCTCCAGAGTGAGGAGCAGGGTCTCCAGCCAGTGCAGGGTAGCTCCCTGGTGGCTCTGGCCTGGCAATTTTGAAAGGTCAGAGGACCAGCAGGAAGCAGGAGATGGAATGGACTTGGAAGGTGCAGCCTGCTGCCTTGGGAGGGCCTCAGGATCTCCTTATGGCAGTGAATGGTTCTCAACCTTTCTAATGCTGTGACCCCTTAATCTAATTCATCAACCATAAAATTATTTCCATTGCTATTTCATAACTAATTTTGCTACCCTTGTGAACTGTAATGTAAATATCTGTATTATCTGATGGCCTTAGGTGTCCCAAGGGGTTGCGGCCCACAGGTTGAGAACTATAGCTTTAGTCCCTGTCTGGGCTCTAAATAAGGGTTCTAATCACATCATGACCTACAGGTTGGAAACTGCAGCCTTAAGGCCTTCAGGGCTTCCTAGTGAAGGTTCATTGATGGATAACCCCATTAGATCTTAAAGCAATATGCTCTAATTTTTCTTGGGTCACTCATGGAAGGCTGGCTGTAAGACGAAGCCTGCCTGCTTCCTCCCTTTTCCCCTTTATCTTTCTGATATAAGGTCTCCCAGTATAGCTCAGTGTGATTTTGAATTGGCCCTGTTTCAGCAAGAATTCCTGGTCTGGGCCCCTAGGATTGGCTGGCAAGCTGGGGGTAAATGTCTGTGTTTTCCCTGAATTTGTACACAAACATGCTCCTCTGGTGATTCTTTCTGGGGAGGGGGAATCAGGACCCTTAAGAAGGTCAAGGCACAGGATGTGATGGTGTAATCTGTTCTTGATTCAGGAGGCCTCCATTCACAGGCACATTTCTCACTGAGCCCATACCCCATTATTGCCTCTGATACTGAGCAGGCAAGATGGTCTTTCTTATTTTTGCCTTAGATGCAAAGAAAAACAGTTCAAAGCAACAAACAAAGACTGGAAGCAGTAATCTGTCACATGTCATTTCCATGGTTTAAGACTATCCAAGAGGTTTGGGCTGGATAGATGGCTCAGTGGTTATAGATAGTGGCTGCTCTTCCAGAGAACCTATGTGGTGGCTCACAACTGCCTAACTCTAGTCCCAGGGGATATGACACCCTTTAGTGGCCTCCAAGGACACTGTATGCATATGTTTCACAGACACACATGCAGGCAAAACACCCACACACATATTAATAAAAAAACAAAATAACCCAAACTAAAAGTTAAAGCCTTCTAGAAAAAATGGCAGAGTAGCACTCCATAGAGATACAGTCTTAAAAACAACAACAACTATATTCTAGGTTCCCTCCTCTTGTGTAGTTGTCTATTTGAATATCTTCTTCATCCACTAATAACCAAACAGCCAGAGCTGTCTGAGGTGATGACGCCCATATGCAGTGTCAACACAAGTGCTATATTTTGTTCTCTGGACACTGGTGTTGGAAGGATACAGCCGAGCCTTGGCCTGTTGTCTGGGGATGCTGAGATTCTTACCTTCTGAAGAATAGCCAGCAGCAGCTCAGAACCTGAGGGCTCCTTTAATTTCTCTTCTAGGCTCTGTTCCAAGGAGAGAGAGAGAGAGAGAAATAAATCCTAGGGGCATTTTCTCATCAACATTACATTGCTGTGGAACAGGCTGGTCAAGAGCATCAGTGATCTCTGCCCAAGGACTTGGAACAATCTGAAGAGGAAGGCGCCAGAGACGAGCTCAGGCTGACGTCATGGGCCTTGTATGGCTGAGTATGAGGAGAGTGACTCCCGGTTTGCATCAGACGTGGCTGCCCGGCAGTCGACCGGTCACAGTGGCTTTGGGGCTGAGCTGGTGAGCTAAGAGTCAGTTACAGCATAAAGGCCTGGGATCTGCCACCTAATATGGAATGGGGACTCAGATATGCGGGGCCCAAGCCTGGCCATGCCATCTTTCTCACAGGGACTCCAGCTCCAGTCAGGGCAGGTATGTGACACACAACAAGCCACTTCACATCGTCAGAGCACCTCACTATGTCCTAACAGGTCCTCTAAGACCTGTCTTGACCCTTTTCTGACCTCAGTTATACTCAGTCTCATTCCTCATCCCACTATGGTCATACCAGTTTGCTGTTCTTAATCATGGCAGCCATGTTTTTATCACAAGACCTTTACTTCCTGTTCTCTGGGACCATCCTATGGCTGACCGCTGTAGGGCTCACGTAGCAGTTCAAATGTTGCCTCTTTAGGTAGGTCTTTGATGACTGGTTTATTTGCCATTTCCCTGTTCATTCTTTTATCCTTCTGAGACAGGGTCTGGGCTGGGACTGGGCTCTAATTCAGAGCTTCTCCTGCTTTAGCACCCCAGGCTGAGGTTACAGGTGTGAGCTCCCACACGTGGTTTTGCCTGGTGTTTTTTGGTTACATACTGCCTCATGTCTCAAATGTGCCCTGGTCTGCAGCTCATGGACTGCATTCAGTAAATATTGAGTTCCCAGTAACTGCTAGTCAACACTTGGTGCGCTTCCACAGCCAGGTGGGAGCCACGGTTTGTATTCAAGTACTCCCACACAGTGAAATACAGGAGGGGCTGCCCCTCGGGCCGCGACAGTGCGAAGGCTGTTAAATACACAATTAGTGTTCATGATAAAGTCATTAGGTTCTTAGTGCAAGCACTCCTATGTTCATTTTCCTATATACGTAAGCAACAGCTTGGGGCTGGGGCTATGTGGCTCCCTAAGGTGGAGCTTCAGCAAACGGACCCGTCAGTCAGGCGGCTTAGGCCAGTCATGACTGTCTGAGTGCTACATAAACACCTTTAGACAACCACAGCTGAGTGCCATGGCTCCTGGAGGTGCAGCCTCAGCCCAGGCTGCTTGAAACATTTTACACCAGACTTTTTGCTATGACAAATCTGGGTGCACACTATATTACTCTGCACTCATTTCTGTGTGCACACTTCCTCGTACCTAAGGAAGGATGGCTGGGATACTAAGAGGCAAGGCTGTGACTGGTTCAAATATCTATAAATCCTGCTGCAGTGGCTAAAGCAGGGAGTGGACGGCAAGGAACCCTTCCTTGCTACCTCTTGGGAATGGTCTCTTCTTGCAGTAGTGTAGGCTGAACTGGTAACACGGTGAAAGCAGGCATGAACAGCGGAGCAGCAGTGGCTGGGGCAGCTCGACAGTGGCTGGCAGATGGCCACGAGCTAAGGAATCCCCACTTCTAAGGCCTGCACGAGAGCTGTATGTTTGTAAGGGCTGCTACCAACGGCTGAGGAAATCTGGTATCTAGGCCTGCTAGGAAGCTGGCAGGCAAAATATGCCAAGAATTCCAGAGGTCCATAAAGGACCAAGGGCCCCATATGCAAAAAAGCTGCAATTGCCTGCCTACAGCTGGCACAGGAAAACACAACTGTCAGAGATCAGCACTACTGGAACTTGTCTACCTGTGAGCTCTGGCTGAGCAAAGGAAAAGCCCAGCTTTTTGGCAGCAAGAGGCTGGTTTCATAGTATCCTCCACTGCACTAGTTAGAAATTATGGCACAGATATGTAGCCACTTATAAGGTCCCACAGCCCATAAGGGTTTGAACTAGGATTCTAAGCAGGAAGCTGGTCTGCCTGGCCAGAGCTCTGCCTCTGACCCTTTCCTTCTTAAACACCTGTCTGTCAAATGGAGTGACAACAGACCCCAGTGCCATGCATTGTGGGCAACCCTGAGCAAGTACTTAATAAGGCATGTGAACTATTACACTTGGCATAGAGTTAGGACCTCTATACTATTAGGGTTTCATTTTCATGTTAAGACCAGAAATATTTTATGTCCGTGAAATAATATAACTGCCTAAATTGGGTGGACTCTGGAGGAATACAAATCTACAGTGATTGTAGAAAAAAAAATTAATTCAGAACATGGCTGCTCTGGCAAGAGATCACATCCAAAGATCTTTTAGGTCTGTGTGATCTGGCTGGGAAGAGGCAAGCAGTTCTGAGTTCAAGGCCAGCCTGGTGTAGAGCAAGTTTCTGGTCAAGAAAAGCTTAGGTGTAGGCGTGGTGGCTCACGCCTTTAATCCCAAACAATGAAGGTAAAGTTAGTTTGTAAAAGGAAGCACCCAAGTTTGAAAGTGATGTCTGAGTGGCAGAAAAAATGATGAATTAGAGAAAGATCTGACAGAATAGGATATGCCCAACTCTCAAAAGTAGAGAGAGGAAAGGGAAACTACTTAAGGGAGTAACACAGAGAATGAGAAGAGGCAGTTTTATCAGGACAGATATACAGAAAGGAGTTGAGAAAATAAGCTAGACAAAGGTGAAGACAGAACGAATCAGAGAAGAGAAGAAGCCAGAAGATTAGAGCAGATTGCTGGAGTCAGTTTGCAGCCAAGCAGATAAATGTAAGGGCAGAGAGAGAGGAGCCCGATTGGATAAGTCAGCTGGAAGAGGAGTTTGAGCCAGAACAGCTTAGTGGAACCAGCCAGCTATGAGCTCAGAAAGAACTAGAAAGGGTGAGCTTATTCAGCAGTTAAATCTCAGAAGTTGAAAACATTCTAGGCCTGGATTAGATTGTATGGAGGCAAGAAGCTTCTAGGACTAGGCCTACATTAGCACACGGAGGCAATAATGAAGCGAATAAAAGTTACTTTTACAAGTGACTCCTGCCGGTGAGCTCACCGCACAGGAGTTATCAGCTAAGCACGCTCTAAAGGAGCCTCGTGCCCGAGCTGCAAGTTCCCAGACTGCCAGGAAGTCCCCCTTTCAATCTCAACTCTGTCCGAGGCGATTCTGCCTGCTGCCTGCCCTTCGGATGGGGACCTAGCCTCCCTTTCAGGAGAGCGGCTCCTGCTGTCTGAACACGGTTAGTTGTCAAAGCTGTTTTGCAGTTCGCCAAAACGATCGATCACTGTCTCAAAAGTTGCTAAAATAATCCAGCCCGGTTCGTGACCCTGCAAGCCCCACCAAAGAAGGGTCCCACCTGCCTCCCCCGGTCGAGCGGTGAGCAAAGGCGGCCCGAGCCGCCCGGCCTCTCCGCTTGCGGTGCTCGACCCCGACACCCGCCGCCCACCTGCCAGGGAAATGAGGGCAGCGCGCGAGCCGCCAGGAAGCGGCGCTCGAAACTCTGCAGCAGAGAAGCGGCCCCCTCGTGGTCCTCAGGCGCCATCGCGGGGCGGAGCATGGAAATGGGCGGAAGCACGGCCTGAGACGGAGGAGGCGGGGCAAATAGGGGGCAGGCTGTGGGCGGGGACTAGCCAAGGTTCCGGCCCAGGGGGCGGGGCAAGGCAGCGCCCTGGTGGCGGAGAGTACGGTGCGCCCGGGCACAGGCGGGATGTAAGCTGCCGGGTAAGGCTTCGTGAGAGGCAGGGCTTAGGGAGCGCTCAGTGCTCGGCTGCAGGGGCGCGTTCTACAGTTTGCGGAGCTGGAGCCGGCAGTCTGGAGGCGGAGCCGGCTGGCCTGCGGGCGGAGTCAGAAGGCGGTCCTTGACCGGAAGGCAGGCTCTAGGAATTGGAAGGTGGGTATGGGCGGGGCTGAGACGGGTGGGGCGGAGCTTGGAGGGCGGTCCTTTGACTGATCTGGGGGCGGGACTGATCTGGGTCTGCCCGCCTAGTGGCGGAGGCCGATCTCCGCGAGCCTTACCCTACGCGGGTGTTGGGAAGTGATGCTCCGGTCTGGGATCCTTGAGCCGAGCCAAGGCTGTGGCCCAGTGCGGGGAGGAGTCGGGTGGGCCAAGGCGCCGCGTTGCAGGCTGCACCCGTAGCCGGGTCTCACGCCGGGGTTTTGGCCCGGGAGTGGGGCGGGGTTCGTGAACACCTAGGCCAGCTTGAAGTCAAACATAATTTCCCGGTGTTGGTCCACCCGCGTGCAGTCGTGTTGGGCGGCCTTATCAACACCTCTCCTCCGGCATCGCCTTTTGGAACCCTCCAGGAAGGGCGCTCGCAGTTTACTCCAGCCTTTAGGTCAGCAACCCAACATCAACTAATTCTTATTAAACACCTCCTGTATTGATTGGCACTGACAAGACCAGGGGCTGCAAAATTGGTTTCTACCCTCCAAGATCTGGGTCCTCAAGTGGGAACTGGGCACTGAGATAATCATACACACATGTATATAGATGTATGTATAATTACATACATATTATATGCATTAGTAACAGTATCTGGGCTGAAGATGAGTACACAGAATAGCAGGGCCTTCCAGCAGGAGTTTCGTTTGATCTTGCAAGAAAAAGAATCTGAACCAAGAGTGGGAGTTGGCTGCAGCGGGTGGCGGAGTTTTCTGTTCCAAAGTTCATGTGTCTTGCTAGAGTTGAAAGGCACGACGCTGGCAAGCCACCCCTGCTGTCCCGAAATCTGCACTGCCATTCAAGGCATAATAATTCACTTTAGCAAATGTTTCAAAAAGCCCCATTTGGAAGCTTCTTGAGCTAGCTTAAATATGCTTGTAGAACGTAGCTGAGGGGGAAGGATTCCATCCCATTACCTCCTTCAGATGAGAAATCCTGAGACCTGTTTAGGAGAACAACAGAGGGAATTGATTGCAGTCTGGTCTATAAGGACAAGGAGCCAGGCCAGCACAGAAGACCAAGAAGGCATGGTCTTTTATTCCCTGAGCTGAGTTGATTTCAATACAGTGAGCTGTGGTTGTTTCTGTGGGGTTTTGTCTTTTTAATTTTTTTTTACATTGATTTGTGTGTGTGTGTGTGTGTGTGTGTGTGTGTGTGTGTGAGATTCACACACACACAGAGGATGGCTTGCAGGAGCTGGTTCCTTCCTTCTACTCTGTGGGCTGAACTCAAGTCTTAGGCAGGTGCCTCTACCCCGAGTTATCTAACTAGCCTTATTTGTTTGTTTTAAGTGTCTTGTTATGAGAAACTTGCTAGGTTGGTATTTTCTTTGTAGCCCATCTTGGTCTCAACCTTGCAGTGATGCCCCTGTCTCAGCCTCCAAAGTGTCCAGGATTATGGTCGTGTGGCACCATGCTGGACTATAATTGTGTTTTTACACTGCACACTCCTCCCGGCTGCAGTCGCCGGAGATTCTGAGGCTTCACAAGTAAGAGGGGCCTTGGCGACTGAGGAAGAAGGCCCCTTAGGGGCACTGGCATGCCTGTGCCATTTTGATCAGCTCTCTGCCTGCAATCGGTGATGCAAAAATAAATAATAAATAAATAAATAAATAAAATTTAAAAAAGGGAACCAGAGAGATATACTTGTACACCACGAGTATTTGCTATTGATCACTGTTGCTACAGAACAAAAGAGCACAGTTGGCATCATAGTAATACTACATGATGTATTCCTAAGATTCTAGTAAACCGAGGCTGGTCTAGCCTTTCCCGATCCCACGGGAACAGATTGAGAAAAGATCCTACATGGGCTACAAAGCTTTCTTATCTTGGAGTGTGACAAAACCCACACATCTTAATTAGATCTGAATGTAGGAGGAGCGAGTCACAGAAGGATTGTGTGTGTGTGTGTGTGTGTGTGTGTGTGTGTGTGTGTACCCTCGAGTGTGCTGTGTATCTCTGCTGTTGTTCCTGTTCATTTTGTGTTTTAGAGACAAGGTCTCTCACTGTCCTGGAGCCCACTGCTAGTCTAGCTGGCCAGTGAGCTCCAGGGATTTTCCTGCTCCTCCCAACTTAACACTGATGTTACAAGTGTGGGTGCATTTGGGAGATTAAATTCCAGTCCTCATGCTTGTAAGGCAAGCCCTTTACCAAGGGCTTACCAACTATTACCTCAGCTCACTGAAGGACTTTTGAGGACACAGGAAGCTCACAGAGGTGAGGTGTTCAGGTGTAAGGGAAGGCTAAGACCCCTCTTGTCAAGTGGAGGGATGATTCCAGATGTTGATGTCTGGAGCAAGGCCTGGTACACATCTGTGTGCTCCTGTACCTTCATTGTAAGAGGCAGTAGGTGTGTGAGCTCTATTATTACTCCCTGTAATCTAATAATAGCCTAATGCATTTTAGCTGTATGAAGCCATTGCCTTTTAGAAATTATGCTTTGGATTTGGGAGTTCAATCAGCATGAGGAAGTTTTTCCTCTATCTCTCCTCTGGCTAATGGTTTCTGTAAGAAAAAAAAAAAAAGACCAATTGATTTCTTTCTAGAATGTTGCTTCAGGGTGCAGTGACCTTTTATAGGTCATGTTTCAACTTACAGAAAAATTTTATAGTTCAAATATAAATTGCCCCAAATGCAGACTCTGTAATGGAATTTAAGGTTAAATAAAGTTTCAACCTTCCTCAGGCTGTTTCCAGCATCCGAGAAGCCCCGCAGCTTTGGAGACAGGTGCTACATTAAAGTCTCAGCAGGGTCGGGTGTAATACATATAGGAAGCTTGGTGTAACGATATGTATACTGGGGTACACAAAGGAAAGCACCAGGATTACACGACGGTTTTGTGGTTTTTGTTTTGTTTGCTTTTGAGGCAAGGTCTCATGCAGCCCAGGCTGGTTTCTAACTTGCTATGGACCTGAGGATAACCTGTCTCCACTTCTTAAGTGCTAGGATTAAGCATGAGCCATCATACCCCTTTGAAGCAGTGCTGGAGAATTGAACCCAAGGCTTCAAACACTCTACTTACTGAGCTACACTGTCAGCTCCAGGTTAAAGAATATTTGGGTTTGTGATGTCACCAGTATTAAGGGTTGAATTGTACCCGGTGCAAAGATAGTCTGGGATTCCTAACGCCTGGTTCCTAGGAGAGTGAATATTTTTTGGAAGGAGGCTGGCTGCAGATGTAATCAACTTTAGAGAAAAACATGCTGGAGTAGAGGGTTTTCTGGGTACCAGTGACACTTCTCATGGGAGAGGAAGATACCTCACAAAATCCAGGGCACAGGAGGAGATGGCCGTGTTGCTCTAGCTGCAAGCCAAGCACCACCGAGGAGTGCTGTATCATCTTTGCTAGAGAAGCAATGTTTGTCCTCCAGATCTGCAAGACGCTAGGCATCTCTTGCTTTAAGTTACCCGGTGTGGCACTTGGCTACTGGCCACGTTACTTTGGGGACTTCTTTGCAAAATAAGAACATAGGGGATTTGATAAAGAATGAAGAATTTCAAAATGGTGCTGGGCATGGTGGTATCCACCTATAATTCCAGAACTCAGGAAGTGGAGGCCGAAGGATCTTAAGTTCAAGGCCGGCCTGGGCTACATAGCAGAAGCCCATCTCAAAGACAAACAATAGCAGTTAGGGATGTAGCTCACTCAGAAGAGTGGGCACATAACTGTCATCCCAGCACGTGGTAATCAGGAGTTCAAGGACTCTTTTGATTACCTTGGGAATTTGAGGGCAGCCTTGGCTGTGTGAAACCCTGCCTCAAAAGAAAATACATTGAGCACTCTCCTGAGACCCTTGGGTTAGGAGGTCAGATAGTTGGATCCTGGGGTCTTACAAGGCTAGACCCCAGTGGTGTGTAGGATATAGTTTCAGTCGCTTATGGCAACATGATGACTGGCCACACAAAACTCAAAGACCACTCCTTTCTTTTTCCAGTGAGAGGCTCAATGTGTCACACAACAGACAGAACCAGGCAACCCCTTGTCACAACACTAAGCCTGATAGCTGTGTTTCAGGAAGCCTGGTGACCTCCCCCCCCCCCTTTTTTTTTATAGTTTGATTATTAGGAGTCTGTCCTGGTTGCTCCTGGGCCCCTGGGAAGTTTCCCACACATGCTTCAGTGAATATTAATTATGGAAATCAAATGGACATTTAGCCCAAGAAAGCGCTCACTGTAGTGAACTTTCAGAGGGCAAGTCATTGAAAGCCAATTCACTAAAAGACCTCAGCTAAGCGACGAATTTGCCTAATGACCATTCTGCATAAGGACTCATTTGCTAAAAGCCAATTTTCTGAAAAATCAGCTTGAGGGATGTTCTGCATATCAGAAATTGAGTCATACTCCCACTATCATTCAGTGAGGCAGCCCACGCCTGTAATCCCAGCACTCAGAGGGCTACGGGGGATTGAAAGTTCAAGGGTAGCTTGGGCTACAAAGCCAAATCCTGTCTCAAAAACAAGAAAAGCACCTTTGATGATAAATAGCCACATTTTACGGAGCATGTCTCTGCCAACACTGAACACGCCCCCTTGAGATTTCTAACCCCTGTGAAATTCTGGCTGGTGACAAGCCCAGAGGAAGTAGGGTGTCTAAGCAGTGACT